TCTGTCAGCTCCTCATCTGCAAGCCATGGAAAATTGGTCAAAACCCCAAATTTGTTTAGCACAATTTCCAGTGTGGAAAACCTCTCCTTGATGGCTGACGTGGCTGCTTCAGCAACATTGAAGAATCCAACCTCCAACCTTTTAAGGGCATCACTGAAAGGCTCATCATGTGATTCATATGAAAAGCAGCACTTTGTGGACCTCAACCTTTTTTGTTTCGAAACAGCCTCCACATTCATTTCTTCACACATGTCTTTGGCTGCCATCTGTGCTGTCACAAAGCCCCTTGCCCTGTAGCTGTGGAGACCTTGCTCAGTCTTCTTCAAAAGACTCACAGCTAGGTCCACATGCATATTTGGAGACAGCATAAGTTTGCTGACATGCTGTATTGCAGATAGAATGTCATACCAAACAACCGTGCAGATGCTGGAACGGTACGATCCCACCTCCTCAGACAAAGACTGGGCCTCAGTCTTTATAGCAGGGTCTTTGGTTTTGTCTCTCACCTCAAAGTCTCCCTCACTGCAGCTCCCTGGTACCTCATGGGCTCCACACTTTTGACCTTGCTCCCCCACATGGTTTCTGACCACATCTTTAGAGTGATGTTCACATGGTTCTTCAGGATGGCCCATCTTTGGGCGGAGGCTGAAAATAAAGTGTAGAGCTTTTGCAGAACAGATCCCTTAGCAGCCTCACACACACAACTAAATTCAATGTATGTGCTCCACATAGTACGAACAGAGCTCGGGGATTCTTTTCTAAGAGCCTGGCTTGAACTCCCTTATTTTTGCCTTCCATGTTTGCCCCATTGTCGTATGACTGTTCTCTGCAGTCTTCAAAAGGAATTCCCAACTCCTCAAGTCTTCTCAAGATCATGGATGCCAAGTGCTGGCCTGTGGACACTCCTCTGCTTCCAAAAACCCCATAAAATGTTCCTTGATCTGGGGCTTCTCCATCAGTGACACCACTCTAATGACCACTGACAACTGTTCTGTGTGGCTTATATCCAGGGTGCAGTCCAGAATGAATGAAAAAACTTTGCCTCCTTGATGTCATTCACTAGATATGATTTTGCTGCTCAACATATCAATAAGTTCATTTTGCACATGATGACCTAGGTAGCTGTTGTGACTTGCTGTTCCTCTTTTGACATGGTTAAGGTGATCTTTCATTATGGGATCAAATCTGGCCATCAGTTCAACCTCTTTGAGAAAATTCCCATTTGATGGTGTGAAAAGTGTTTCTGTGTGTCCTCTTAGAGCCAAATTTCGAACTGCAAGTGACTGCACAATAGCAGCGAGAAGTGTCAATACTGCTCTCCATCTCACCCGCTCATCCTCCAGAAGTGCCATTTCCTGCTTATCAATAATTTTCCCACTTCTTATCCTCACTGCCAGTTCTTTCCATGTTTTCATGGAATGGAGGTGTTCTGTAGTGTTTTCATGTGATGTGAGGTAAGTGCTCGCATGTTTCCAATTTGCCATTCCAGAACCTGATAAATTAATGTTCCTATTGGAAAACAACTTGCAGCAGAAGCAAAAGAGGCTGTTGCTCACAGTGGAATACATCAGCCAGTTTCTCGCCATCTTTTCACCACTTACTAATGTCTTCCTGAAATAGTGGTGATGGCAACTTCTCCCATCACTCTCATTCCTTGGAAAAACAAAGTCAGGTGACACCTTATTTGGTCCTCTACGTACCAGCTCAGTCCGAATCCTGTCAGTCCGAGGTGAAGGCCAGTTAGCAAGGTCACTTGACAAAGGCTCCTCCTCAGCAGTGGGGCTCAGTGGGGGGTGCATCTCCGGGCATTTCTATCAACATATTGGCACATTACTCAAAGCACATAGCAATGAAACATTACACACAAACCTACTCAAATTATCAGAAATATTTAAATGACATAAAGGTGAAGTTGCCCAGTAAACTTGGAGTCTAGGTATATCCCCTCTAAACAAATATACACACAGACACACACCCACCCACCTGAAGGCTCATAATGGGTAGAAAAAGAAGCAGCAAGGTCTTTATCCTCACTATCACATATTTTTGCTGATAACTCTGGAGACATAGTAGCTGAGGGTGTAGATGGAAGCTCATCCTCAAGGTTCAAGGCTGTGGCTGATGTGGACGATGGCAGGTCTTGTCCAACAGGGGAGGAGGGTGGCTCATCCTGACCAGTGGCAGATGATCCAAATTTTTTTAGAATTGCCCCTAAAATTGCAATTTAAACTGACATAAAAAAAACAACAACTGTAGACTACCAGAAAGGCCACATTTTATTACTGAACAAACCATGTGAAAAATAATCAGTGCAACAAATGCAATGAAGGAGCCACACTTCTGACTAATCTGTCCAAACAAGACTGTGGTCTGCTGCTAAAGATGCGAAATGAAACAACTAAATGATAAGGCTGCAATGTCAGACTCTTCTTATAAAAGCCTAAACAATATGTATTAAATCAATGGGTGTTGTCCAGTTTCCTCTTTCCAAACTGATATTTATAGTTTATTAATATTTAATAGAACAAAATTCACCTATATTTCAGTAACAGTTTAGGTGGTATTAATATCACTCATCATCCTAGTTAAAATAACATATCTAAATATATCCACAGTTACACTATGATTAGTAGACCAGTAATGCATTTCATTAACAAGTTCAGTATTACTGGAAAAGCTAATAACAGGATAGTTAGTGAGGACTGTGGCTTTTTTTCTGCTTGTAGAGTTTATTCATTAGTATGTGAACATGAATCATGATCATTGTGTTTTTGTTGTTGTTCAGGAGCCAGGCCGCAGACTGCAGTGCGCATTTAACGAATCCTCACACTTGAATCATTAAAAAAGAATTCAAGGAATTTATTCGAACCCTTTATTTTAAACTTTCAGCCCTATTTGCTCTGTTAGCAATTAGTTGACCTAATTTAACCGTTAAAATACCCAGTTAATCAGTTAAAAATGGACCTGGTCAGCTGGTCACTCAACACGATTGATAAAAAATTTTCAACGATGAGAATGGGAGACGGGGCTCCCGGATGCCCCTCTGGGACAGACCCAGTTGAGCATATCATGGACTCCTGGAAACAGTGGAACCTGATTTGCCTGTCTCAGCTGTCTGTAGAGGATTCTGAAGACGTCTGGATATTTGTGGTGTTGGTGTCAGGTCTCCTGCTCTTTGGCCTAGGAGGCTTCCTGGCTTACCGGAAAATTAACGAGCTGTCGAGGAATATTGGCGCTCTCCCCAAGCTCACAGACTCATATAATTGTCGAGATGAATTGTAAGCTTGGAACTTTGGCTGAGATTCATGCGTTGGCACAAAAGATGGATGCCATCAAAGAGCATGTGGACGAATCAGCACGGATTGGGATATAGTAATTTACGCTATTATTGGGATTTTGAGAGGTTGAGGACCAACGGAACTTTAAGACAGAGAGGAAATTATCTCTGTCTGGCCCCAAAACAATTTCTAATCTGAATCTGGTGCCCTTGAGCCTGTGAGGCTGCAACGAATACTCCCCCCTCAGAAGGAATGTGGAATGCTGCCATCGCTATGGCAACTCTGTCTCCTATCCCAGTCTGGGCGGGACTGCGGGCTGTGAAGGCCACCGAATCGTTCCTGGAGTCACTGTGCCCTCCAAAACTCAACAACCTTCTTCCCCTGCCCAGACTGGGGTGATGTGCGCTGCTTATCGTGGCCGCAGGAACTGACGTGTGGAGAGTCCCAAACCCACCACCCCACCTAGTGGACACTTATGTTGTGTAATGCCTGAAGTCTGTTGCATCTCTGTCTGAGGTGTTTTTTTTTTTTGCATAGCAAAGCTGCCCTCCCTGTGGAGGGTAACGCTGAAGTGCCTTTTTTCCCTCCACCTGAACCAATCCTCATGTAACCCTCTGATCTCTATTAAGGTAGCGCGACTCAGGGTTGCGAATGACCACAGTCACCAATTCTTGTCATGTGTCTTTGCCTATGTATGTCTGATCTCTGAATTGCGTCAGCTGAAACTCTAATTTCCCCTTGGGATTAACAAAGTATCTTTGAACTGAATTTGAATTGAATTGAATTGAATGAGAACGTATTATCTTTAGCCTGTTTCTCCTCTTCTTCTTTTCTTCTTTTCTTAAATTGGGCACCTGATGGTTTTGGCCTTTTTCTGTCCATCTTGTTTGGCACTCAACGCAATAAACAGGTTTCCAATCGTCAACGACAACAACCAGGAGTCAAGACTAAACCGATTGACCTTAGTGGGTGACCACAAAATTGTTTTGTTTTTCCTCTTTTTTTTTTGGCCATTTCACACAATTCAGAAAAACATGAAGGAATTATAAGCCTGTATTTATAATATTATGAATTAAATGTGTGTTGTATGGATAAACATCAAGGTATGACTGACTTAAGCCATCTCATACAGTTGATTCAGACACCCCTTTTGTGTCATGAAAAAATGCCGCCCTGGGCAGCCGCCCGGTCTGCCCGTGCCTAAAACCACTACTGCACATTGTAGCCACAGCTGCCCTGGGGCTGCCAAGCACTGGGGCCACCATTCTCTCTGACCACCACCAGCAGAGACAGCGGATTAATTGTCTAGCCCAAGAGCACAGCGGCTACAACAGATGGGTCTCAAGCTTGTGTAACCTTTGGTTACAGGGCAGGCACTTTGGTCCTCTACCACCATCACCAAGTTGTCTGCAATGATTTTGCAGACCTGACCACCTATATGACTTCTTGAAAAAGTGTTGTATTTACAAATTCACTGTGATTCCGAGTGAAACCATCATGTTTTCTCACAAATTTGTATTTCCAACTGGTCACCTACAGCTTAGTAAGCTACCTTTTAAATGTGAAAGTCAAATGTTTTACACAGTTAAGAACTGTCACATAAACTGAGTTGGTACACATCACAAAGTATTATCGGTCATTTACGAAGGGTGGCCCAGAGTTTACTTTAAAGTACTTGATAAAATTGCTCATCTAAACCATTCCAACTAACTTTGCTTCCAGAATTACATTCTTGGGGCTGATTACTGGACTATACTTCCTAACGAACATACTGGGGGGAATCCTCTACGTCATAATTGTCAAGAGGCAGAAGAAGTTATCTTTGAGGAATCAGGAGAACGAAAATGGACTGGAGGGAAATGAGGTGAGCAATGGACACGCAAGTATCAACATAGCCAAAAACAGTGAAGACACAAGCAAGGAGAGCACTATTTAAAGGAAGGCTACACCTAATGAATGTGAAGACGTGCTCTGTGCTCCATCTAAACTGGACCGAATGAGGTAATGGTACAGTGTCACGTTGTTTTGTCTTTAGGCAGTAAACCTCTGTTTTTCAAAATTACCAGAAAAAAGCCCAAAACATGTATTTATTCTCTAGTGAGGTCAAAGATCATGACTACAAATATAACAAATTGCATGGGCCTGAAGGCCAGTTGAGACAGATTTTAAACTGCTATTAATTGGAGTCAATGTCACTTGCAATAAACTGAAATAAATTCAGCATAGATAAAAGATAAATTAATAAAGAAGCCTGTAAAATGTGAGTTTAATGTAAAAATGATAATAGTTTAATGTCTGTCTCCAATATCTTATTTATAAGTGATTTTAGGTAGCTACCTTGGAGCTCACATCCTTCAGGGCTGATGACCAGTTAGCCTGAGAGCAGCCACGGCGAAAGGGTACTGCTGCCATCCTAAAAAAGCTCCAATCTCTGAAATGGCATGACAGTGTGTGTGACATTATATTAAACATACATTATCGGTTTTTCATTACAAGGTTTTTTTTTTCCCCATGGAACATTATTGGTTATTTGCAAGCAGAAACATCCCTACCAACAAGGGATTTAGCACTTCTGAGTCCTGCAGGAATCTTTTAATACATTTTTACTTCCCATGATAACTATAAAATCTGCTTTGGATGTTGGTCAATCAGGAATACAATGACAAGCTGAAAAATAAGGTATTTAACCTCCTAAAATCAACATTTTTTTGACAGAATGCATTCCATGGTCATCTTGGTGGGAATATTAAAATTAATGCTGTCAGACATTTGGGAATGTAGATCTCGTAAAAAAGAAGCTTTCTGCAATGTGTGATGGTAAAATCAGTAATAAATCCTAAATTCCACACAGAAAAGCACTTCTAGAAAGCTTGCTTGTAGAGGATGTTCATGTGTGCGGCTGATTTAAGGAGATGCAAATGGAAAAATTGTGTATTAATGCATTTATCATCATTTTCATGTGCTGAAAGTTTCCATGTTGGATTCTGAGGTTGGAGCTAGTCAGAAACCTAAAGGGTGTTTCAGTTGATTTATTTTATTTGAAACAAATGGAACACACAACGATCTCCATTTGGTTCCAAAGGCCCAACCTCGTCCAAGTACCTCTGCTTAATCTCAGTTTATCTCAGATTGTATTGAGGAAGGTTAGACATGTGAACTTTGTTTTTAGCTTGGAATTATAATTTCCCTGTGTCATCATGCACAAATACATATTTTACTGTCCCACAATCCTGGACGAGTCAAAAGACTTAACATAATGCTAGTACTAGCTTTGTCTTAGCTTTTTTCATATGACTTAGTCAGAATAAAGTGGCCAGGCAAGCCATCCTATATATGTTTGAAAAAAGCAAAAGTACTTTGCTTCATCAAATGACGTTTTAGATTCCAGGCTAAGAATAAGATAATTTAGCTGAAAAGTAAAACTTCCTTTTGATTGTTTTTAAGTAATTTTTGAAACAAATGCATTTAATTCTTCTAGCTGAGGTTGTAACATGACAGGTCCCTTTAGTTTCTCAAAAAATCTAGACAAAAATATGTTGCTTTTTTACAATGTTCCATGTCAATTTACCCTAATCAGTGACACATATACTAATCTCAACAAATCCAACTGGAGTTCCATATGAAATGAGACCAAAAGTAATCAAATAGAGCTCCGGGAGTTGGCGTCACTTCTCCCTGCATGCAACAGTTCAAATCGAAATGGCGCCATCTTGGCAGGCAGAAGTCCGCAGCTAGGCTATTTGTTATTGTCAGAAAACTCAGTCAAACGGGAAATATGGTAGATTCCTGTTGTGCCCCAGGATGGCAGAACAGACGCAGACAAGATAAGGGAAGAGCCATCTACAGGATTCCCCAAGATCTGGAACACCGCAAACGTTGGATCATTGTAATAAAACACGCTAGTGAGCGGGCTAAAATGAAACTGTTGGATCCTGAGAGTAAAGGTTTTCACTTATGCAGCGACCGCTTCATATCAGGCACTTAAACCAACGTTTCCTCAACTGTGTATGGTATTTATTTTAAATGCTTTTATTACGATTCTTAGTGGGCTTCCTAAACTTATTTTGGCGTGGCTTTTTCTGTCTTATTACTCACAGCAACAAGTAAACATCACGTAAAACGTTGCCTCGTGATTTCTGCGTGCTGCCGTTTATATGTTTTATGATCACAGCAATTAACCGGCTAAGCTGTATTTAATTTTGAAGCAATGGTTGATCAATTGTCAGATCACAAAAAGCACTTTGGATTGCTATTTTCTGTCTCACCGAGACAGATCTCAGACAGATCCTGAGACGCTCCTGCCTGACATATTTATTTTATTCACGGAAAAAATCAGACTAGCGATTTCTCTTGGAGTTCAGTTTAAACATTCAAACAGCACAGCACTCTATTTAAACTAGTTTCATGTAAATCTATGTCATTTGTCCATCCATCCATTTTCATCCGCTTATCCGGAGTCGGGTCGCCGGAACAGCAGCCTAAGCCGAGAGGCCCAGACTTCCCTCTCCCCAGCCACTTGGGTCAGCTCCTCCAGGGAAATCCCAAGGCGTTCCCTGGCCAGGTCCGCTCCGACAGCTTCTGGCATTTTAAAAAGTATCCCAGGGGCATGGTAAGGGTGGGAGATGGTTAGTCAATTTAATTTCTGACTATATAAAATGAATTTCTTCGGTTTAAAGTGTGAAGTAAACTCCGACAGAGTAAAATCCAAGCCATTCATTTTGTTTACCTTTGTTGCCTGCCAACATAGCGTCTACTCTCTGAGAGTCACGTGACGTCCGGAGTTCTATAGACCTTGTGGTTACAGAAATATACGATTAAAGTGTCGGCATGTCATTTTCACCAAATTTTCTCAAAAAATGACTTCATCATCTCTTTCACTTAAGCCTTAGTAAGTACAGTAGGTTATCACTTATACTCCTATTTTACTACCTCACACTCTAACACACTATTTTATGGGCCTAAGCTGGGACAGACAAGGGTCATTCACCTCCCCACACCCCTGTTACAACTCGTCAGAACAGGTTATGGAGGAAACCCGACAACACAAAGAATCCCTTTTAGTACAAGTGGTTCTGTCTAAAGTTACAAATCATTCATAAGGAGTGTAAACTCAGTCATAGTAAAGTTTGTCTTTCTCATTGGTGATATTTGTCAAATAGTAAATTAAACACACACACACACACACAGAGAGAGAGAGAGAGAGAGAGAGAGAGAGAGAGAGAGAGAGAGAGAGAGAGAGAGAGAGAGAGAGAGAGAGAGAGAGAGAGAGAGAGAGAGAGAGAGAGAGAGAGAGAGAGAGAGAGAGAGAGAGAGAGAGAGAGAGAGAGAGAGAGAGAGAGAGAGAGAGAGAGAGAGAGAGAGAGAGAGAGAGAGAGAGAGAGAGAGAGAGAGAGAACAACTATCACTACCGCTTACATATTACTAGTAATAAATTATTTTTTATGTTAGAATAAATGTTGAAAAAAATGTATTTCTGTTTGTCAAAGTGTTTTGTTATTCATCCTTTCTGCTTTTTGTCTACAGACTCATTGATTGTAAATGTACATTAAAGACAAACCTTTCTGTATGCTTTGTTCCTATAGAGCTTTTATGCACTTATTGTTCATGCTTTAACTATGTAACTGTAGAACGACATGCCATTTTGTATTTGATTACCATGACAAATCTAAATGTTCACTTTCCTGTTGTGCTTGTTATAATATTTACATTTTGGGTTTTAAAAAATCCATCAAAGACAAAAGTATTCTCAACTAGCTCCCTATCAGAATCTAAGTTTGTTCTTTGGTCTGAGTTCTTTTTGGTCTTTTATTCTGACTTATCCCAAACCTTTCATGCTACCGTTAAACAACATCTGATGACTTTTAAGTCCGTGTCCTCATCAGTCCCACAGCAAGATAACAGGACCTGCCGTGTAAAGTGTACCAAAGGTAATGGAGAAAAATGTTACACAATGTTGTGAAAACAAAGTGTATTCATGACTATGTGACCCCCTTTTCTAGCAGCTCCAAGGTAACAAAGAGCAATAAAAAAACACTAAAATTACATGCTATTAAAAATGATTCAAAGACAAAAAACGATACGAAATAAAATACACACATTTTTATTTTTGATTGTTTTTTTTATTTTGTTCTTTACTTTCCACAAATTTACTGTAACTGTATCTTAGTTCTTAAAGTAGTTTCATTTAATTTTTTATTTACTTTTGTCTTTCCAAATTTATGTATGGGGTGAGATGCAGACACAGCTGCACTCAGGAACTATTTGGTGATTTAACCCCCCAATAATGCTTAGTGTCAAGCAGGGAGGCACTGGGTCCCATTTTTATGTCTTTGTTATGAGCCGACCAGGATTTGAACCTTAATCACCCAGTCCCAGGGCAGACACTCAGAATTGACAAAGCGGGGCACAAGGGGGACTTTACCGCTCATGTGGGCAACAACAGTCAGAGCTGGAAGATGTGTGGCTGGGAGGAATTGGAAACGGGTAGAATGCCTTCTCCAGGCCAACGACCAGGTCCTGCCTCAAGTGGGGGAGTTTCAGTATCTCTGGGTCTTGTTCACAAGTGAGGGAAAAACGGAGTGTGAGATCGACTGGTGGATTGGTGCTGCATCTGCAGTGATGCGGGCGTTGTACTGATCTGTCGTGGTGAAGAGAGAGCTGAGCTGGAATGCAAAGCTCTTGATTTACCGGTCGATCTACGTTCCTACCCTCGCCTATGGTCAAGAGCTTTGGATAGTGACCAAAAGAACGAGATCGCAAATACAAGTGGCCAAAACAAGTTTTCTCCGCAGGGTGGCTGGGCTCTTCCTTAGAGATAGGGTGAGAAGCTTGGTCATCTGGGAGGGGCTCAGAGTAGACCCGCTGCTCCTCCACAATTTGAGGAACCAGTTAAGGTGGCTCAGGCACCTGGTCAGGATGCCCCCTGGATGACTCCCTGGTGAGGTTTTCCGGGTATGTCCAACTGGGAGGAGACCCAAGGGAAGACTTAGGGCACGCTGGAGGGACTGTGTTTCTCAGCTGGTCAGGGAACGCTTTGGGATTCCCACAGAGGAGCAGGCACAAGTAGCTGGGTAGAGGGAAGTCTGGGCCTCTCGGCTTAGGCTGCTGCCCCCGCGAGCCAAATGGATAAGCGGCTGAAAATGAATAGATGGATGAAATTGTCAAAGCTCCTCTGATGAGAGAAGAAACATCTTCAACAAACTAAAGAAGTCGAGCAGCCTTCATTCGAACCCTTTTGGATTACCATAAACTGGATGACTGAGAACCTTCACCAGCACAGCGTCACTGTTTTTAGGTAAAACAGTCTCATCTGTTTGCATTGAACCATCATTTTATCAGTATGGCTTTGGTGCCTAAAGTTGAAGGCTGTGTTAACCAGGAAGGCCAAACATGGACTTGTTTATTTTGCCCTCTTCAAATAATGCTCCCTCTTTTCTGTTGGACCATACACATCCTTTGACCTTCAGCCATGTAATGAAAATGCAAAAGTAATGTAAGCAAAAGCATTTTAAAAAACTGTTTCTCATCACCTAGTTTAAAAGAGTAATTTTATATTTCACCATCTTGCAGTTAAAAAACACATTACAAACACAAACTGTAAAAAAGAGAGAGAGAGAGAGAGACAGAAAAATACATAAACATGGTGTTTTATGCTCATGACTGGGAAATTAGGACTGGAATTTTTTTGGGAAGATGTGAAGACTTAAAACAGATTGGCAATTAGAAGGTTAGATTTTTTCTTCTCTAAAACCGTCAACAGACTGAGGAGGAGGATTTGTTCAGTCAGTACTCACAATGATTGTGTCTATGGTTTAAAGGAAGATTAGACAAGTTGTCCGCTTAGGAGCAGCAAAAGAATGGCTGTGGTGTAATAGTTAAAAAAAATGTCAATAATAGTCACAAAAAAATTTCTGGTCCGCCACCAGATGGTGCTATACACTAAGAAATTTTCATTTAAATGTTTTCTTTTTCAGTTGTCTCAAAATATGTTGCCAAAATTTTAATAAGTAAACCAGGAGACTCATCTCACAGTGCTATCTACCTTCAGGTGAGAATGCATTAAGGGGAGACTGATCCGACAGCATTCCTGTGTGAGTGCACCTGAAACCTGATACAGCCACGGAAGATAAGTCAACTCCAACTGTACATGCAGGAAGCTGGGGTTTGGTATTTGAGAAAGAGGTGAATACCTCTAGTGGAGGAATGTAAGGCTTAGAACAATAATCCTTGAAATCTGTAAGAAGACAAAGCTGATTACCCAACCCCCCCCCCCACCCCACCCTACCCCCCTCCCACCCCCCACCACCACCACACACACACACACACACACACACACACACACACACACACACACACACACACACACACACCACGAATGAACACAGCATTCCCAAACACACTTTGTCACTGAGGTACACCATTCCACCTTTCAGGTCCTCATCAATGCATTCGTGAAATACGATTCTAACATCTAAGAATAATTTTGTTGACTTAAAAAAACTTCCACGGTGAAAGTATTTGGTTAGAATAAAAAAAATGTAGTTCACATTACTAATCTATGCCCCTCGAACTCTAAACCAAGCCACCAATCTCCACCTCCCCTTGCCCTCTTTTTGCTGCTCTCCTGGTCGACCGGTTGGCATGTGTGCAGAATAAAAATGTGGAGGCCCTTTTGTTCTGTGATTCCAACAGCTCAGCCCTGAGTCAGGACAACAGGAGCTCAGGGAGAGCAGGTAGCCTGGCAAGCCAGACTAAATAATTGTATTATTTAGTCTATTTAGACCAAACTTTGCAAAGCAAGAATTTGGTCTAGTTCACTAGGCTAGGAGAGCAGGGCTATCTCTTCCCAGTCGAAAAATGGGACACATGGCTGCCTGAAGAGGAGCAGATGAGGGAGACGAAACCCCCTGGAGATCCATAAGGTATTCAATTCCTTGCTGGCTGCTCATATATATATATATATATATATATATATATATATATATATATATATATATATATATATATATATATATATATATATATATATATATATATATATATATACACACACACACACACACACACACACATATATATATATATATATATATATATATATATGTGTGTGTGTGTGTGTGTGTGTGTGTGTGTGTGTATATGTATTTTTTTGTTACAATGTATATCTAATTTTAAATGTTACACTTTCAGTTAATCTTTCATGTAGGCTTGATGGTCAAATGAATCATAAAGACTGACTGACCTTTGAGAGATGGAGTATTTACAAACAGAAGAGAATTCATGGGGTCATGAGGTTAAAAAACATATTAATTTTCTGTCAAGTGTCCACCCTCGCAGCCTGTCTAGCTGACAAATGAATTCAGAGTCATCTCTGGAGTTTTCGTCCCAGTATTGACTGAATCTGTATCACCTGATGAGGATTAAGAGTTTATTCAGGTAGTTTCTATTATTTCTGCTCTTGTGTCTTCATAGACAGGAATGAACTGAAATAAATAGAACTGGACTCTAACCAAGTTAAAAATAAACATTTGTAGTCAAACCCGAATGTAAGAATGCAAAACATTTACATTTTCAAATAATAATGATAAAAACAACAATGTATAAGTAATCAAAGCCATTCTCAGTGTTTTGTTGATGCCCCTTTGGCCATAATTACAGCCCCGAGTCTTTTTGAATATGATGCCACAGGCTTGTCACACCTCTCTTTGGACAGTTTGGTCCATTCCTTTATGCAGCACCTCTTAAGATCCATCAGGTTGGATGGGAAGCATCAGTGCACAGCCACGAGATATTCAATCAGATTCAACATTAGGCGCTGGCTGGGCCACTCAAGGACGCTGAGAGTGGTTCTGAAGTCACTACTTTGATACGTTGGCTTCATGCTTTGGGTCACTGTCCTGCTGAAAGATGAACCAGTCTGAGGTCAAGAGTACTCTGGAGCAGGTTTTCATTCAGGATATCTCTATACAATGCTACATTCATTTCCCCCTTTATCCTGATTAGTCTCCCAGTTCCTGCTGCTGAAAAACATTCGCATAGCATGATGTTGCCACCACCATGCTTCACTGTAGGGATGGTTGTGGCCTGGTGATGAGTGGTACCTGGTTTCCTCCAAACGTGAAGCCTAGCATTCACACCAAAGAGTTCAATCTTTGTCTCATCAGACCAGAGAATTTTGTTTAGTAAAACGCTTTGGAGTCCTCTGACTCTGAGAGGCGTTATACAAGTGCGGGACATTTATCATTTAATGCTAGGAAGGCTGGTGCCTTTTACAAACGTGTTGCTTTGGTCTTGCCACTCCACCTTACAGGCCTGATTGGTGGACCACTGCAGAGATGGTTGTCCTTCTGGAAAGATCTCCTCTCTTCACAGAGGATAGATGGTGCCAGGGTCCAAAATTAACACTCGCCAAATGCGAGCAAATTGCTCCATTTGGCGAGTAAATTTTTGAGCTCTATCTGCCACATAGCGAGTAAATGTTTGCACCAAATTAGTTATGTTTATCAGTCATCTTCCATGGATTTCTGATACTCCTCCCGCCTGCATGCAACGTACGCGAAACGTGAGCGCCGCATCCAACGTCATTTCCACCTATCCCATTCAATCAGTTTATCAAGTTAGCAGTTAGCTTCGTGTTAAAACTAGCGGTGAAATATGGCGGTTTTTAACTGGAGTCAGCCAGCCTTCCAAAAGAAAACTCGTCGAACTGGAAGAAAAAACACCAGGACCAGTGGCAACCAGAAGATTTTGTGAAAAGTGGCGAACTGGAGATGGCGGAGTCGTGAGACAATGGCTACATTATGATGGCCACGTAGCGTTGCTGCCTTTCACAGACACCTTTTCTGCTCGTGCTGCAAACAGGATAGCCGTCTTCTATCAACTGTCCTTCGGCATTCTTCAAATATCCAAAAAATGCCCATACTTCCCACTTTGTCTTCTTTGAGGGATAATAAATGTCCTGAGTGCTGCTGTCTCCTGTGGCCATTATTTCAGCTTTAGCTTAAAGTTTTGGTCGTAAACAACAAGTAGCGCATGTGCCACCGGCAACTTCAGCAGATGATACGGTGGCTGGTAAGGGTCACCGCGCCTACACCGCAGCCACGGTAATCCACCGAGATAATATATTTAAAAAAAACAAGACGGTTATTATTATTGTCAACTTTTTTACCAGGGTTTACCGGTTACCGTGACAACCCTAGCCCTGACACTTTCAGATATTCTCATGGTGCAGCTGTGTTCTCCAGAGATCAAGGACTATGACCCAAATGAGGCTGTAATGCTTTGGCACAAAGACGGTGTCAGAAGCAGGAGGCCAGACTTCATGGACAGAGAAAACAAGGAGTCTGACTAGATTTCAATGAAAGAGTTCATAAAAACATCTCTAAAAATAAATAAATAAATAGTAAAAATGACAAAAGAGTTGTTTTTCTTATTAATTGATGTTTTAATTATTTTGTCACTCTGTTTGGAATCAACATAATGTGACAGTGTGAGTATCCTGTCACAATGTCCCGATTGATCATGCACCCTGGTTACTTGGCAGAGGGGATGTCCCTTTGGCTGACTGGTTAGAGCATATGACTCTCACCCGGGAGTCTGGGGATCGAATCCCGCCCGGGCCCTCGTTTATCCACCTTGCCACAATAATATAGAATAACATGCTTTAGAAATTTGGCCGGTAAAAAATATGCTTGGCTGGTAGATTTTCATCATCTACCAGCCAACTTGGCCGGTGAGAAAAAAATTTAATTTCGGACCCTGGATGGAGCTCTGACAGAGTGACCATCAGGTACAAGCCCCTACTCTCTGTAGCAAACCTCCCACAGTGCAAGAGGACGTGCCCCACCATTTCCGGCTCCCAACAATTACAGTTGCCGTCGGAGTGTTTCCCATGCAGAAACAACCCATTCTCAAGACCGCCATGCTCCAACCTCGACTGGGATCGAGGCAACAGAGTCCCTCCTCCCACAAGCAAATTCTGTCTACATTGGTACCACATTGATCTCCCCGTCCCTTCTCCACAACACACTCTTGGCCACAGCTAAACCCACTCTGTTAAGGAGCAAAATAACCACCACACGGTTTCCTGCTAGGTGTGCATGTACTTGCCCATAACTAATACATTTCAGTCTCTCATAAGAGAGACTGGATTTACGTAACACGGACCAGGATTTCCTCATTATCTGAACTGACTGTTATTTTGGGCAAGTCTGCTAAGTAAATTTATCCTGAGTTCAAGCAAGCATTCCTGGGAAGTCTTTACTGGAGAGGGGACATTCTCCATACATGTGAATAATTCACATATTAGGATGCTATAACACTGAAATTATTTTTATTATTATTTTCATCACACAGAACACAGACCCACAAAGTTTAAGGATGGAAGAAGCAGCCCAGGACATCAGCCAGACGACCAGGGAGCAGGTTCTGTGTGACCTGACCAAGCAGACAAGCAGAAACCGGCCCGGCCTCTCCACTTTAAAAGTACTAAAACTGTCTGCAAGCAGCATCTCTTGTTTTTGTCTGATTTTGTCATATTTTTTAAGCCATTCTTCTGATGCACTCAGTGTAATTGCGCTACAATAAAAACACCAGGTAAAAGCCTGAAAGGCAATGCGGTGAAGCCATTTTTAGCACTGGTGGCTTGCTATTCTAGAAGGGTTCAAATGTTTACTCACTTTGCTGAATCTATGGTGCTTCACTCTACTTGAGAAACATGCAGGTTTAGTTTTAATGGTTGACTAAATTGGCTACGATTAAATGATTTCAACCATGGATGAGACTGGAAAGCTGTCACGGTTGGGTCCACTAGAAATTATACGCCCTTTGACCTTTGCAAGCTAACTCGTAAATAAATGTGAGACAAGTCTATCAGTTGCACAACAATATGACAGATTTTACACTGAAAAAGTACAAAATCAATGTTTTTACTCATCATGGTGACAACTCATTTACAAAAAGCCTTAAGTAAAGCAGTCATTGGTCTCTTTTGTGTTTTCCAGCTGTTTATTGTAGCACTTTCCTTCGCCTACTTCTCCAAAGCCTTGACAGGCACATACATGAAGAGCTCCCTCACTCAGATTGAGAGACGTTTTGACCTGTCAAGCTCACACATCGGTCTCATTGATGGCAGCTTTGAGATGGGTACAGTTCTCTCTCTCTCTCTCTCTCTCTCTCTCTCTCTCTCTCTCTCTCTCTCTCTCTCTCTCTCTCTCTCTCTCTCTCTCTCTCTCTCTCTCTCTCTCTCTCTCTCTCAATAACATCACTCCTTTTAGACCGTGCTCACGATACTTTCCTCTGAGGTAGGCAACTTGTTGTTTCTTGCCGTGGTGAGCCATTTTGGGGCTCAGCTCCATCGGCCCAGGCTCATAGCTGCCGGATGCTTGCTCATGGCTGTCGGGGCTCTTTTCACAGGACTGACACACTTCTTCATGGGGCGGTAAAATCTCAAAGAATTCCAAAAAACAGTAAAATCAAGAAATCAAATGAATTAAAAATCAGTTTTCTCCAATTTAACATCTCTATCTTGATTTCACAGCTATGAGTATAACAGCATTTTCCAGGTCCTCCAGAATAACAGTGTGAACATTTCTGCGTGCATGGATCTTGTGGAATCAGCAGAAAACCAGACAGAGTCACCTGTAGAAGACAACAAAGGTGTATTTATTTGTTACGTCATTTTCTTAGACATTTGACACAAATAAATTGAAAGTTTAGACTTTGGTGTGAAGACAACAGTCAGTTGTTCAAGGTAGAACAGATCAGCTTTGACTCTGGATGGACAAATTAGGCCAGTGGTCTACTTTGGATTAGGATGAGCTCAGTTGCGTCAATAATGTTTATGCAGCCATGTCTGTCTGTTTACTTGAAAGCAGCAGTTTTTAATTGGGATAAGTTATGTTAGAAACCTTTGTTGTGGTAGCTCGGACAATAACAGGAAACAGAATCACTCAGGGATGTAGTGATCATGTCAGAGCTTTACGTAAAACCATAAAGCTGGACACATCCACCACCAAACCACAACATGACCTTTGTCATCTTGACTATCTTTCATCAAACTTCAACAAAAATATCATAAAGTAAAACTATAAAAGAGAAAATGCAACAGGAGGTACAAAGAACAAGAGGGCTGCACTGTAGAATGTAGTTTTCAGTCATTTTCACAGAATGTAACAAATCGAAAACACAACTTATAAGAAAATTTTACATGAAAATAACACATTTTAGGAAATATGATTTTACTGAGGGCTGTGCAGTGCCGCAGTGGTTAGAGCTGTTGCCTTGCAGCAAGAAGGTCCTGGGTCCGCTTCCCGGCCTGGGATCTTTCTGCATGGAGTTTGCGTGTTCTCCCTGTGCATGCGTGGGTTCTCTCCAGGTACTCCGGCTTCCTCCCACAGTCCAAAAACATGACTGTTAGGTTGATTGGTCTGTCTAAATTGTCCTTAGGTGTGTGTGTGTGTGTGTGTGTGTGTGTGTGTGTGTGTGTGTGTGTGTGTGTGTGTGTGTGTGTGTGTGTGTGTGTGTGTGTGTGTGTGTGTGTGTGTGTGTGAGATTGTTTGTCCTGTGTGTCTCTGTGTTGCCCTGCGATGGACTGGCTCTCTGTCCAGGGTGTACCCCGCCTGATTGCCTGTTGACCGCTGGAGATAGGCACCCATCCATCCAGAAAATGGATGGATGGATAATTTTACTGTTCTGTTGCATTTTCTGGAGCATTGTCTTCTGTCAGAATTACACATAAACTTTTGTGGAACTTGAATTTGTTTGGTTGTTGTGTTCCTCAGACTGCGTGAGAGAGACTGGTTCCAACATGTGGATCTATGTGTTCCTGGGGAACGCTCTACGGGGAATTGGAGAATCTCCAGTCACACCTCTGGGCATCTCCTACGTCGACGACTTTGCTAAAGCGGAAAACTCTCCCTTTTATATCGGTGAGGAGCTAATGCACACTCTTCCACACAATTTTTTTAACCAGTCTGAACTTGGACATACAGTGGGGCAAAAAAGTATTTAGTCAGCCATCGATTGTGCAAGTTCTTCCACTTAAAATGATGACAGAGGTCAGTAATTTACATCATAGGTACACTTCAACTGTGAGAGACAGAATGTGGCTGTCAGAGAGCAACACGGACTTTCAACTCCCTCCACAGATTTTCTATGGGGTTGAGGTCTGGAGACTGGCTATGCCACTCCAGGACTTTCAAATGCTTCTTACGGAGCCACTCCTTTGTTGCCCGGGCGGTGTGTTTGGGATCATTGTCGTGTTGGAAGACCCAGCCACGTTTCATCTTCAAAGCTCTCACTGATGGAAGGAGGTTTTGGCTCAGAATCTCACGATACATGGCCCCATTCATTCTGTCCTTAACACGGATCAGTCGTCCTGTCCCCTTAGCAGAAAAACAGCCCCAAAGCATGATGTTCCCACCCCCATGCTTCACAGTAGGTATGGTGTTCTTGGGATGCAACTCAGTATTCTTCTTCCTCCAAACACGACGAGTTGAGTTTATACCAAAAAGTTGTACTTTGGTTTCATCTGACCACATGACATTCTCCCAATCCTCTGCTGTATCATCCATGTGCTCTCTGGCAAACTTCAGATGGGCCTGGACATGCACTGGCTTCAGCAGCGGAACACGTCTGGCACTGCAGGATTTGAGTCCCTGCCGTTGTAGTGTGTTACTGATGGTGACCTTTTTTACTGTGGTCCCAGCTCTCTGCAGGTCATTCACCAGGTCCCCCCGTGTGGTTCTGGGATTCTTGCTCACCGTTCTCATGATCATTTTGACCCCACGGGACGAGATCTTGCGTGGAGCCCCAGATCGAGGGAGATTATCAGTGGTCTTGTATGTCTTCCATTTTCTGATAATTGCTCCCACAGTTGATTTTTTTCACACCAAGCTGCTTTTCTATTGTAGATTCACTCTTCCCAGTCTGGTGCAGGTCTACAATTCTTTTCCTGGTGTCCTTCGAAAGCTCTTTGGTCTTGGCCATAGTGGAGTTTGGAGTCTGACTGTTTGAGGCTGTGGACAGGTGTCTTTTATACAGATAATGAGTTCAAACAGGTGCCATTAATACAGGCAATGAGTGGAGGACAGAAAAACTTCTTAAAGAAGACGTTGCACGTCTGTGAGAGCCAGAGATTTTCCTTGTTTGAAGTGACCAAATACTTATTTTCCACCCTGATTTACAAATAAATTCTTTAAAAATCCTGCCATGTGAATTAATGGATTTTTTTCACATTCTGTCTCTCACAGTTGAAGTGTACCTATGATGAAAATTACTGACCTCTGTCATCATTTTAAGTGGGAGAACTTGCACAATCGGTGGCTGACTAAATACTTTTTTGCCCCACTGTTTTCACACAGCTTTAATACATTTCTGGCCATAGTATACACCAGCTTTTGTAGTCTTTAGATTGTTGATGTTTATAAATCTCTGTGTTCAAAAAGTGTTTCATAGAAGTTAGTTAAAGATGTTGATCCTCCAACTATTCCTGACAGCTTGTCTCCAGACCATCACCCTTCTGGGCCCCATGTTTGGATTTCTCCTGGGCTCCTATTGTGCCAGATTGTATGTTGACATTGGATATGTGGATATGGGTGAGTTGAAGTGATTGTTTTATACAAAGTTAGATTGCAATTATGATATATAAATCTAACATCCTCTAGATTTAAATATCAGAATTCAGGTGAAGAGAATTCGAGAAACTGTTGATCCAGTGGGATTTTCCCCCACAACTATCTCGTTGTCTGGAAGAGTCTGAAAATAAGAAGCAATTTATTTATATTCAGCTGTGTGGACATAGCTAACCTTTTTCATTTTATAATAGCATTTACAGACCACAAGTGCAGTTTTCTGATTATTTAATTATGTAAATATTTTGAAAGTTTTTATTATTATTATTATTATTATTATTATTATTATTATTATTATTATTATTATTATTATTATTATTATTATTATTATTATTATTATTATTATTATCTTCATTTTATTGATGATGTCTTATAATATTAATATAATTTAATGGAATGTGAATGAAATAAAAATCTAAATTAAACAAAAGAAAGTGCTGGAATTCTGCAACAAACAAAATAACTATATTGCACTCTTACATCTATCTATCTATCTATCTATCTATCTATCTATCTATCTATCTATCTATCTATCTATCTATCTATCTATCTATCTATCTATCTATCTATCTATCTATCTATCTATCTATCTATCTATCTATCTATCTATCTATCTATCTATCTATCTATCTATCTATCTATCTATCATCTATCTATCATCTATCTATCTATCTATCTATCTATCTATCTATCTATCTATCTATCTATCTATCTATCTATCTATCTATCTATCTATCTATCTATCTATCTATCTATCTATCATAGGTTTTTCTCTGCAGTTAATTTCACAGTTTTTCTCGGTCGCTTTGGTGCGTTTCTCAGAACACTATTAACATTTGCACAGCAGTTAGTGCATTTCTCAAAACAATTAGTGCAAACTTCAAAACCTAGTGGATAGCCTGCAAAAGCATGTCACACACTCAAAATTGATAATCCATTCCTCAAAAGCAAGTATTCATGTCAATGAAACTGTCAGTGCCATCAAAATGAAAAGTCTTTATGAACAAGATAGTAAAATGGCTTTGTCATGTTTTCACTATAACAGTTTATAATTTCAGTGTTTTCCATTGCAAGAATATTTGGTGACACCTGAAAATGCTCAAGACAGCAGTATGCCCTACTTGTACAGCCATTTGAAATATGCAGTAAAGTTACTGTAGATGTTACGGGAGTTTTGGGAGTAACTGAGACACTGAATATGTATGTTTTACATTTTTACTGTATAGAAGTTTTTGTAATTCTACAGCATTGTGCAAAAGAAAAATATGCTACAGTCACTTGTTTACTGTAGAATACTTGTAAACATAAAATCACCCTTTTGGTAGAGCTGTGCACAAATGTGAACAATATACAGTACATGTAACAGTACATACAATATTGCACAGTACTGTAACATACAGGTACAGTTAATCATTCTGGCACATCCAGACGTTCCTGTCTGTCTGGCCACATATTTTCATCTACATCACAACGGATGTCATCCCTCGCAATGCAGCAAGGAAAGTATCTCTTAGAGTGGTGAATCCATCCTCTGCAGGACTCTGCTGTGATGTTGTCACATGCTGCATCCATGGCTGCTAGCAGGGCCATTTGCTCATGTGGATGCCGGTCATAAACTTTCCACCTCCAGGCAGAGAAAAACTCCTCTATTGGATTAAGCAATGGGGAATATGGAGGGAGATATTCAACCAGCATTCTTTCATGTGCTGCAAACCACTCTCTGACCAGATGGGAGTGGTGAAAACGGACATAATCCTAGACAACAACATACTTGCTGAGTTGGCCTCCACCCCTCTCATTCTCAGGGACTAGGTCCCTGTAAAGAGTGTCTAAAAATGTCAGGAGATGTTGGGTATTGTATGGACCAAGAAGGGGGATATGGGTGAGGACGCCGTTGTCTGAGATGGCTGCATACATGGTAATATTCCCTCCGTGCTGACCAGGGACTTCAGTGGTTGCTCTCTGTCCAATGCGATTTCTTCCACGCCTTCTGCCTTTGGCCAGATTGAAACCTGCCTCATCAACATATATGAATGTGTGCAGTGGTTCACTGGCTTCTAGCTCCAGTACACGCTTGAGAGAGAGGCAGAAATGCAATTTCACAATTGTCCTGTGTACAGTAACAAACAGTAATGCATGCATTTGGTAAAACACATTGTAGAGTATGTTTTGTAGAATTGCTAGTGTACTGCATGAAACTACAAAGTACTGTAAAGCAGTTTACAGTGCTGAACATAGAAGACCTGCTTTACCTGCACATACTGGTGACGGATCTCCTTCACCCTTTCACAGTTTCGTTCGAACGGCACTTTATACAACTGCTTCATGCGGATTTTTTTTGAGAACTGTCGATTGTTGAAATTGAAACAGATTCAATATTGCCAAATACTGTGTTATTCTCTATGACAGCGCTTTGTATTTCTCAACTTTATTGCATTGTTTGCAATGACCATTGCAGAAATGGCTTCCTCTTGCTGTGGGGTAAAAAGTGGCCCTCTTCCACCTCCGTGAGGTTGTCTTTCAATCCTATGTGGTGCAGAGTAAAATTACTGTAAAATTACAAATACAGTACAGTAACATGAGATATGTATGAGATGGTACAGTACAGTAAATTACTGTATGCATACATGTTTTCCCTACGGAATGTTTGAATGATTGAACTGACAGTAGTTCTTCCAATATTGGGTTGCACCCTTCGACCAGCCTCCTCCATGGTGAGGCCGTGATTGGCAACATAGTCCACAATTGTAGCCCTAATTTCATTAGGAATGTGCCTATATCTGCCTCTTCCCCTTCCCCTTCCTCCCCGCATCCTCACCCCTCTTCCACGATGCTGACCTTCCATTTTGTGTCACAGAAGTGTAGAACTGGTACACACTAGCTCCTGCTCAGTTCATGTATGCTTGCCAATTGAGGATTCACCTCCTCATGAGTGACAGCTGAAATTCACCTGTGATCAATTGTTCAATTTAGGAGATATTTCCAGGAGAAAATGATAAAGAAAGGTATAGAATTTGCTTGACAGATGACTAATATTTGACATTTGATAACTAGTCCAACAATTGTGTGTGTAATGACTCAAGTAATGAAAGTAAGACTATTAGTTTTATTGAGAACGACTATTCAGCATCCATAAGTATAATTAATTTTGACTGACATGACATAAGCAAATGGAAATGTCAAAAAACAGCAGAGAAATGTGGGGATGTTTAGGACCCAAATATGCAGATACCCAGGATGACTCAAGGCAGAAGTTGGTAAAAGTAAAAATCCTTTTATTTTGGAAGAAACAAAAATAAATCCAAAATGGCAGCGAGCCAAAAGTACTGGAGGACAGGACACCCAAAGCTCTCTTTAGAGCATCAACAACTGGAAGAAAAAAAAGCTCAGACAGAGCACGAACAAACGCTGACAGAAATACAACAATGGACCGACACAAGACAGAGACAAGACAGGGCTTATATACACAGGGAGGAGTAATTAGGGAAATTGGCAGCAGGTGTGTGGAGTGAGGGCTGGAGGGAAGACAAGTGAATATAATGATCTACCTGGGAAAACGGAAAGAGAGGAGGGCAAATACCTAAACACAAAACTAAACAACATCTAAAGACAGAGGGAGGGGCTCACACAAACTAGCTGGAGGAGGACATGACACACACACATACACTGAGTTGGGGAGGACCCGCACACACACACACACACACTAAGTTGGGTAGGACACGCACACACACACACATACACTGAGCTGGGGACAAAGAGGCTGGAGTTGAACTGGGAGGAATGATTAAAAAGGGTAACAACATAAGACACTTAACTGAGATGCAGACAAAAGACACATGAGGGCGCTATGAGACACAGAAGGGAATCCAGAGAGGGATGGGGAAACATCAGGAGACACATGAAGGAAGACACCGACACAGACCATGACATGTCCAAAATCAAATAGAAAAAATGCTGGAAGTGCTGCAGGGGTGTGAGAAATCTTATCTGGTACTCTTCAGCCAAGGGATACACATAAATGCTGGCAAAAGGAGGTCTGAGGCACTCAGGAGATGCAAAAATAAAAAGCCTTTATTAGTACATGGCTTAAATTGTTAAAAACATCAATGCCAATGCGTTTCAGCCCACAGGGCCTTCGTCAGGGCTCAAAATGTTTGTATGCTCACTCACTCCCATGTTAAAAAGGCCAATCACTAGCCACGTTTACATGCGCATATTTAATCGGATTGAATGCCCATTCAGATTGAAAATTCTGCATGTAAACATGTCAATCAGAATATTCTGATCCGATTCGGCCCGATCGGATTGAAATTTCAATCCGATTGAGAGAGGTGGTTTATTCCGTTCTTCATTCCGATTGACGTGCATGTGCACAGCCATTCGGATTGTTGGGGTAAAACAATGCCCACTGCGCATGTGTGCAACAGCCAGCGGGCCTCTCCGCTGTCATTTGGACTGCCTGACTTCAAAAATGACGGTGTAATTAACAAGCGGCGGCTTTTAAATCCGACAACAAGCCGTCCCGTTTCAGTAATATTTAATTCAGAACTTGCATTTTGTGGAAGTAAAATAAAAATCTGATTATTGCACAAATCATTCGACAAAGATGTTCAAATCTTTACTGGAAATACGCAGGTTTATCGTGGGGGTTGCAGCGCACGGATCCCCGTTTCTGTCAGCTTTGAACACAGCAGCTTCTGCAGCAGGTGATGGAGACACGCTTGTAAAGAACACAGGATAATCTGGGTTTTACAGACCTGATTGGAGGCTGATGTTGGGTAGGAAAACGTCCTCGGTTAAATACTCTGGACGACAGTAAAGTCCGTGTTCGTTAAAAGCACGTAAACGCAGATGACCTGAGATGCGGTTCGTTAATGATGAACACAGGCTTCTAAACTTTCTGAACATCTTCTGTTATTTTGTTTGAACAGATTTTTCTCAACAGTTTCAGCTGATCGTCACATGTTATTAATAATAAGCCACAACAGAGCTCAGTAATAAAACATGAGGCTAACCCCCACCCCCCCCCCACCCCTGCTCTGTGGCGCAGCGCAGCGCAACAGCTGTCAATTCAGACCTGCGGACCAGCTGATCAAGAGGCAGACATAACCCTCCCTTATTTTAATCAACAATAAAATGCAGCAAAGCATATATCTGCAGTTATTCACTGAAGAAAACGTAACTTCTATGAGCTAAATAAAAATATTAAATTGAATAAATGGATCAGGAAAGCAGGAAGAATAGTTATTTCTGTTTTTACATTTTTCTTTTCGTTTCATGGCGTTTGTTTACAATTTTTCTTTCGTGAAAGGCTCTGCGCATGCTCAACCTATTTAATCGGATTAAATGCTTGGTGCATATGTACGCACGGCATGATCGGATCATTTCAGTTCGTGTCCATGTGAACAGAGATTCGGAAATTCCGATCAACCAAGATTTCAATCGGATTGAGGAAATTAGGCACATGAAAACGCAGCTAGTAGTGACACCTGCCGAAGCTGGGCAGGTAGACTGCATTCTGATTGGATGACCAGTACAGCACAAAAAACTTTTTACATCTAAACAATCCTATTGTAAGGATGAATACTTACAAATATTAAATTTCACTTATAGTATTTGAGAAAAAATTATAAATATGGTACACAAATTGTAAGAAAACATGCGATTATAAATAAGGAGCTAAATCTAATTCTCCATTAAGACATGGGAAATTAGTAGCTTTTAGTGTGTAATGGCAGTGCATTATAAAGACACAAATCATGGAAGCTGTAACTCTTAAAATCACAGGGATTGAACATATAAAAATTTCAATTAGAGGATGAGATAGGCTTAAAAAACTCTTGCAAAGAGAATCATTTTGGATTTCCACACTAAAAGCTACTAATTCCCCAGGTCACTAATTCATCAGGCCAAATATCCACACGTCTTCGACATCCTCAATGGAAAACTGGGAGAGGCATATGATCGTCCATTCCCTCCAGGAATCCAGCATATACCCCACCGGGTGTGTCCCCTGTGGGCATGTGGGAGTGCCCTGCTCCGTTCTCATTGTTGAAAAAACTTATCGTGTTGAATGACCATTTTATCAAATCCATGGTTAAAAATAGGGTTTTTCACAAGAAATGCAGAGAAGCACTCTGTGGGCAGATGTCACGTTCTGAGGATGTTTAGGACCCAAACATGCAGATACCCAGATGACGAGAGGCAGAAGTAGATTCAAAGTAAAAATCATTTTATCTGTAGGGATACAGAACAAAAACTAATCCAAGGCAGTGAGCCAAAGTCCAAAAAGTCCTGGGGAACAGGAACACCCAAAGCTCTTCTTAGAGCACAAAAACCTGGAGACAAAAACTCAACAAAGCGCACAAAGACCTGAAGGCAAAAGCTCACACAGAGCACGCGCAACGCTGACAACATACAATGGACCGACACAACACAGAGACAAGACAGGGCTTATATAGACTGGGAAGAAGAGAGGGAGATGAATTGCAGGTGCGTGGGGAGAGGGACCAGGTGAACACAATCACTAAATCAGGGAGGAGGAAGAAAAACACTGGTGGGAAAAAAGCACACTAAACAAAGAAAGGCTGTAAAAAAGGAAAATGACCTAGGAGAAAAACAAAAGACCAGAAGGCAATACCCATATCTAATATTCTAAGGGGAAGCTGACACTAAAGAAAACACTACAGACAAAAACTACAGGGGTGTGGCTAAGAGGGAGCCAAGAGAGCACAGGACCTGGGAGGGGGATGTCTGAGGAGGATAACCTAGAGGGCAAATGGGGAACAGCAGGAGACACATGAGGAAGATGCAGATACGACACATGAGGGCGCTAGAAGACACAAAATGAGCACCTAGAGACAAATGGAGGACAAAAGGAGACACATGAGATGAGACCGTATATATGTCGATGGATGAGACACCGACACAGACCATGACAGCAGACAGGACAAAGAGCCTTGGGAAAAATGATAAGGGAGCGAAAAGAGAAGCGTCTGTACTCTGCAAGTGCCAGGAAGAAAAATGGGTGTGTTGTGAAAGGCCGTGGGGGTGTTTTGGATCCCTAAGAAGGCAATATACAAATACATGCCATTTACATTGTTTTTTAATTTTTTAAACTGTCAATCCTCCAAAATGTGAGGATTATTGTCTGAATATAATAGAATAGAATAGAATAGAATAGAATAGAATAGAATAGAATTTATACACACATAGGCAGTAAGCTAGTATTGTAACCTTCGTCCACTAAAAACCACATAAAAATTGAAACTTGGGTTCCAGCACTATGCAGAATACTGTACGGAACACAGAGATACTAACATAAATTTGGTATTGCACAAGTATTGAACACATACTGAGTATTACACTGATGTTATTCTGTAACAGGATAATGCCAGTACTAGTTCAGCTGAGGAGGAGTTATACACTATTACTGCAGAGTGTTCTGTCTTACATATAAAAAGAGTTTCCTTCATTTTTTTTGTTTGTTTTTGTTTTGTTTTTTTTGTTTTTTCTTTCCCGTGTCCTGTCCGGCTGTGAAGCAAACAGAATTGATGTCTGAATGTTGATGGCAAGCCTTACAGACTTACTCTCAGGTGGATCATCAAAGCTCCTGCTTTAATGTCACACCCGGTACTAAAAACTTTATAGTCATTGTTTTTGGATGTTTTTTTACGTAATTCTGACCTGACACGGAGACAGAGTTGAAAGACAATGAAGAGACAAAAGGAAGAGGTCCACAAAAACAAACAATTAATGATGAACACGAATCTGCTTCTAGACCTGCAGAAAGAGAGAAACAAAAAAAAAAGGGGGGGGGGGGGACAACAAGTCAACAAGAGCAAAATACAGCTAATGAGGAAATTTAAAATCAACACTGTTTTACTGAACAATCACACAATAATAAATCACAGTGCATTTAGTGGCAATCACATGTGTTGAAAATGCCCAAGTCCATACTTATGAGAGCGCCATGTGAGCACCTGTGTGTGTACACACGGTTGTATATGTAAGGTTTCTCTATAGAGGCGTCCAATAGAGAGTGTGAGGGGCCACAGATCTGCCCCCAAAGATGCGTAGAAGACAAAGGGAGCTCCAAGCCCCAGAGAACCAGGAGCTGCCCCAGAGCGCAGGGAACCCAGGGAGAGTGTAACCAGAGAAGCCCCCAGCTCCCTCTCGAGAGGTGCAGAAAATTGTCCCGGGGGGCCACAACCAGCAGCCGGCAGAGTCCCGGGAGATAACACCAGCAAGCCCCCAGGCCCACCCGCAGCCTCCCACCCCCAAGTTTCCTTAGTTTCAAGGGTGTAAGTGTGCAGCTGAATCCTGGCATGACTAAATTGCCCTTTTGTGTTGCGTCCTCTGGTACCCCAACAAAAAGCTACTCCTCAGTGAACTGCTCACAATACCTACTGTTTTGTAAACTATAATTGTAAATGCCTCAGTTTTCATTTGTACCACATCACAAATCTAATATTATTTAACAAATAAAAACACCTACAATATACTCGTATAACACAACAAAACGTGTATTACCATGCAAAGCCATCAGCACCACCAAACCGAACCTTTCCCTCAATAGTGACACTTTTATCTTTTCTTTCTGCATTGGCAGTTGTGCAAATCCTCATTTTTTTAAAATTATTCTTAAGAAGTTCAATAAGAGAGGGCTTTTGGCAAAAAGCTCACAGTTTTTGACAGAAGAGACACAGGAGACACTGTCTGGAGCCTCATTTGGAACCAGCCTGCTCCTCATGGTGCAAAAGGTCTGACACACTAGCATAAAAAAACTGGCAGCACGCTTGTCAGAGAGGTTTAGTGAGATCTTTTAAAAAATCTTTTTCTTTGAGGAGCAGTCTTGTCTCGCTTTCACTTACTTTTTGAAAATGGTTTATCAATTTCTTACTAAATCAAGCAAACTTATTTTAACAGTTAATATGCATCTGGTAACCTGGTAGAAATTCTCTTCTCATAATCTTCTTTCATGCAGATAGTGTGGCCATAACTCCAAAAGATGCCCGCTGGGTGGGCGCCTGGTGGATGGGTTTTCTGGTATCCTCTTCCCTCCTGCTCATCTCCAGCATTCCCTTCTGGTTCCTGCCACGCTCGCTGCCCAAGCAGGAGGAACAGAAGGGCAAATCGACTCCCACCCATGTGACCTCAGATCAAACAGCGGAGGCACTCAGCAGCAAGCAGGAGCTCAAGCTGACTGAGATAGCAAAAGGTAAAGTAGAAACAAACTTCTGTGTGCAGAATGACTGATGATAGTTTCTTGTATAATTACCAAAAATCTCTTCCACAGCATTCCTTCCATCTCTGAAACGCCTGCTGGGAACCCCTGCTTACTTCCTGCTTCTTATTGGGAGCATCCTGAAGTTCAACTCCTTCATAGGCCTCTTTACTTTTAAAGCCAAGTACATTGAACAGCAGTTTGGACAATCAGCATCAAGAGCCAACTTCCTCATAGGTAATGGGGTCCACCTCACAATGCAAGCAGGCAAAGCTTTACAGTGATTTTACACAGTAATAGCAGTAGTAATAGTAGCAGTAATAGTAATAGTAATAGGCATGTTGCACCTTTAGGAGTACCAAAACAATTCTGGGATGGGTAGAATTGATATATATCTATATGTATTGGGATATATGATAGCTCAGTCCTCTTAGCCGCTGTGTCTCCATACAAATTCAGCCATTTCTGGACTTTCTAAGAGTTCAGCATATCACAACAGCATTTGCAGTGAGTGATGTCACTGATCAGCGCCAAAAAATGTCAACAGACAGTAAAAGTTTTATTTTCACAGTACAACATAATTTAATCCATTCGCAGGACGGGGAGAGTTTCCGTGTGATTCAAAACGTTGTTCAATGACTATCGCACTCTGTAAGACAACAAAGCCCAGTTAATAACAGTGCTGTTGTAATTCACAGTACTTTTCAGTGTTGGGAGTTTAGTGTACCTTTTCATTTCCTTTTGTTCTGCTTCACCAGCAAGTCTTCCAGTTTTACAAAAGCAAGTTGTTTAGGTGATGTCTACTGATGTCATTTCCTCCCGAGTTGCCACCAGTCAACATGAGTTAACCGCGAGTCCCCCTCAGCGACTCTACTAGATGGAGTCCACTGGTGCCTGCTTTGATTTACATTAATCTAATCTGTGCGATTGGAAACACATTCTGTTACAGTAATACGAAGTATCAACTCTAGCTCAGTTTTCCAGAACCATCCTCTGAGGAGTTCCTTGCACTAAGAGTGAGTATTATCATGTATTTTCAAAAGGCTGTCGGTCACTGCTTGTCTAGGGGGTGGAGTCACTAGACACAAGGACCACCCCATTATAAATAACTCTACCCAGGAACGTCCGTTCTCCGTTGTTATGGAAACACAACCCCCACGTGTACTCTAAACCAGATTAAATATGTGTTGCGCAAAGCAAGCACCTATGGAACTGAGCCATACCAAACCTTTTTGAGAACCTTCCCCTGTTCAGGTATTCCAGTAGTTGTGTGACATGTTGATTATTTATAAGTTTCAAATTTATTTAAAGCATGATTTATTATTTGCCACATCCTACCATGTTAGCTAGGTGATAATGGGAGTGGGTGCACTGAGTTGCCCTGTCATCGTCTTCTATTGTCCTCCTGCACATTGTTTATTCTGTACTGCTTATTCCTGACTTAGAAGGAAAATCTGTAAAAGCAAACCACACAATGCATGATACGTGTGGACTCTGGGCATGTTGAATACGTCAAAGAACGGTTTCAACATTTCATATAACCAAGTGGAAAACTCTCATTCAAAGTAGGTGTAAACTGATCATATAAAGTGGTGAAAACGTTTATACAAACTAATATGAACTTTTTTTTTTTACCAACTAGTGGGAAACATTTAATGCAAACAAGTAAAAACAAAATCGCTCATAATCAAATGTCAAAACACTGATAAGGCTATCATTTTTTCATCTTGATTGTTCCAATCTTTTAAAATACAGAATTATTAAACCTTTTAATATTAACTTCCCCTACTAACATTACTCTGCTTACTACTTTACTACTTACTACAAATTTCATCAAGGATGTAAATGAAACACACAAAAAGAAACAAACACTTCACTTATAGAAACCGGTATTGATCACAGTCTCCCAGTGACCAAAGCTTCCTGTGTTTTTATTTTCTAGGTGTGCTCAACTTGCCTGCAGTGGCAATGGGGATATTTTTAGGAGGTCTTCTAATGAGGAGGTACAAGCTGAGTGTGGTGTCAGGAGCTCAGCTGTCTTTTGCTACCTCCTTCATGGGGTACCTGCTCCTACTGCTGCAGTTTGGCACCAAGTGTGATAACATACCCATTGCTGGGCTCACCGTGTCATACAATGGGTCAGCACTCAAATGAAAAAACTTCAAGCAAAAACTTGTATTTCTCTAGTTGTTCTCCACTAATGATTGTAAATTTTAAAAATGTATCCATTCCAGGACAAAGACTGTGTTGTACAATGGAGAAATGCTCTTCTCTGAGTGTAACAGAAACTGCTCTTGTTCAGCAGAGCAGTGGGACCCTGTTTGCTCTGGCAGTGGCATCACTTACATTTCCCCATGTATGGCTGGCTGCCTCACCTCAAGTGGGCATGGCAAGCACACAGTTGGGTAACACACAAGAATGCACACATTTCATGAGGTATATTTTTGTATTTCTGTAGATTATTGGTCATTTTGTGATTTCTTACTGATTCAAAGGACATTATTCAGTCTAGTTGTGTTTCCTTCTGCAGGTGTTTAACAATTGTAGCTGTGTGTCAGCGTCCTTCCCAGTAGGCAGCACCACGTCAGCGAGGATGGGTCAGTGCCCTCACGCCAAAGACTGTAGCCACAGTTTCACTTCCTATATGGCTGTCTCTGTTCTCAGCTCCTTTATCAACGCACTGGGAGCCACACCTGGCTACATGGTCATCATACGGTGTGTTTAACGTTTTCTCACAAGACAAAACGGATGACCGGGGATATTGGTGCTATATATTTCATTGCTTCAAATCAAGCACTGTAAATATGAGAGACAAGAACTGCAACTTCATGCATGAAATCTCACCTGTCAGCGCAAAAATACACAAGTCAATGACTGGGGACGTTCTCTCTCAGTTTAAACAGGAAATCTACCGACATAAAACACAAAATAATAATAACCAAAATACATGGCTGAGTAAACCAGAATACATTAAAGTTAGAATATGGAACATTTTTAATAAAAAACTATATTTAAATAAATAATGCCTCCCCGAGGAGTTCAGAGATGTGCAGAATGAATGCACAGTTTTCATTTTAAAGCTATATTTAAAAAGATAAACAATCACATTTTTATTCTGTCGGGCACAACACTGTGTTTATGTTTATATGTACCAGCCATTAGAGGGTACCTTTATGCCCAAAGGTCCACCCACCAAGCAAGGCAAGGTTGAGACTGTGTAAAATGGCAGACTTTACAAGTGAGGCAGCTGATCCTGAGCCCAGAAGATGTTCTAACAGTAAATACTGTTGTAAAATAAACCTATTGGTTGAAATTAGTCCTTATCCCGTACGATTTGTCTCTGAACATGGGGCTTGAACAGCATGTCAGCAGTGAACCAACATCCCAGCGGGTGGAAAATTACTCCTGTTGTTGCAATGCAATACCACCTCTGAACACCAGGGTTCGCCAGATTGCATTGTCAACCTTTAAAGAGTATTATTTGCAAAAGTGACAGTTGGCATTTGGTGGTTGAATAATCTCCAGAGTGAAAAGCAATACAAAACATGTGAATATCTGAAGTTAAATCTGACCAGTCCGAATCAGCCTACACGTAAAAATGAATTGTTTTTTTCCATGTGTCAAAAAGGGTGAAATGACGTATGAAGTCCAGACATATTGTAACAATTGAAAACGAAATAAATTTTAATGAAAATATTATTCACATACTGAAGGGTAGGGAGCTCCTGCTCCAGGACTATATCATTGACATCTAATGATGGGACAAATATTGGTGTATATTACAAGGGGTAGGGACCAAATCTAATGTTACTTATAGAAATTGTAGTCCTTTGCTGCCTTTACACAAACTATCCAGTTTCCTACTTCAGATGTTTTTAAATGTGCTTTATAAATGAACATGGTATAAAAAAAACTATAAAAAGTGTATTGTAGTAATCTTTTTTTTCTCCCCTTTTTTACTTGAAACACAGATGTATTCCACCAGATCTTAAGTCTCTTGCGTTGGGTATTCAGGCTTTGGTAACCAGGACTCTTGGTAACGTATCTTATTTTTGCTGCTATGTAGCAAGCACAAAGCTTTTATATTAACCTGCTTGTAAATAATAAATAGCCTGCATTTATATAGCACATTTAGAGACCCCCAAGGTACTTTACAACACAGCAGTCGTTCAGACACACACACACACATATATTCACATGCTGGAAGTAAGGAACATCTTTATAGCCACAGCTTCTGTTGGGTATACTTAAAGAAGCACAAAATCTGTGCCACCGGACCCTCGGACCACAACCAGCAGGCAAGGCGGCTGAGGTGTCTTGCCCATGGACACAATGACTGACAGACGGAGAGGTGCAAACATGCTACCCTTCAGCTATGAGGAAGGCACTTGACTCCTCTGCCATTGTCGACTTGCTTCTGAACATTTACCCTTGTGTTTAAAGCCTGAGTTATACTTCCCTGTAAGCTCAAGTGTGGAGTTGCAAACGGGCATTGACGGAGATGTTTTCTTTTCAGACTCTCCTGTCACCTGAGGATTGTTGTAAAGCAATTCTCTGCCAGGACAACAAGGGATGTAACGCTATTCTTGGGTGTCCTGCCACCATTACAGTCACATCCGGTCCAAGATAGTGCATTTACTAGTGTGCTTACATTGTTTTAATGCATTTCACAGACTTTTTAACACAAACAAGTTTGTCCCTTCTCCCCCACCTCATGTGAACGGCACCTCTAAACCCACATTTTCCATCATTTCTGTCCACAAATAAAACGCTTGCTGCGTATCTTTGTGCTCCTTCGTTCACCGATGAATAAACCAAACCTTATTTTTTGAGGGGGGCGATGGCAGTTCTGTTGACAAATTTAAAGGAAGAGGCATCCTGACTGATCACAAGCTTGCGGCCTCTGTCACGTTTGACAGATAGTTACAAAGTTGGGCATGTCTCCTTCAGAGACCCCTTGCGCCGATGCGTAATGCTGTTGCATTTCTCCGCACCCAAGCAGATGGACAAATATAAATTAGACTTAACTTGTTGCTGCTATTGTTAACCTGAGAGTTTCAGGTAGATCTGAAAGTGCACCAGTGGTCTAGCTTAGGATGTTAAAAACTAGTAGCAAACATTGTGATAATACATTTATCAGTAAGATGCAACACTTTGTTTTTAGGTGGAATTCCTGCACCAGTGTACTTTGGAGCTCTGATAGACTCAACTTGCCTGAAATGGTCGGTAAAAAAGTGCGGGGGCAGAGGGGCCTGCCGCACTTACGACTCTGATATGTACAGGTAACAAATAACTTACCTAAATGTCGTTTTTCAATCTCTGTGTTGATCATAACCTTTTTTTAATGTGTTCGCTCTATTTGCAGAATCATTTTCTTGGGTTTGATCACATGTCTCAGTGGCTTGTCTTATTTCTTCATTATTGCTGTCATCATACTCCTCAGAAGGCAGTTCAGCAGACCAGGATGGGAAACAGAGTTGCAACTTAAATCTTCAAAAGAAACAGAAATCAAGGCCCTGTCTAAAACCATAGAAAGTAGTGCTAGCTTTAGAAGAACCAGGCTTCGTCATGAACCAAAGGTTTGTATAAACACCATGACAGAATCTGAAGAGGGGGGAAGAACACATCAGAGGCCTGAAGCAGATGGTCCAAATTCCATGAAAATCAAACCGGAGCCTAAATCAGAAACCACTGCTGAACTGACTCCTCGGTCTCCTGATCGGGTAAATACATAATGCATGGATAGGGCTGAATTGTGAAAAGTTAGACGTCTGGGACCACCAAGAAGTTAAAAAAGAAAATATAATTCAAGTTTAATGCTGAAGTTTGTGTTGTGGAATCTAACAGGGTATTGTTGTAACGCCAATGTTTCAGTGAAACCACTTGCAAGGTCAAGAAGAGTTTCTTTAGACATTCTGTGAGGTCAGAGGCAATTTTTGTTCTATTTTCACAGCTTTAGAAAAAAGTTTAGGACCCCGACATAAAAGTCAGATTAGTGGTATTCTTGGACAAAATCTTTTACCAATAAATTAAATCTTGTATAACTGACTATGTTGCTTCATTTTACAGACTTTACTTTCAAAACATACAGATGTGAAAGAGAGCAACAGATACTAATAATTTAATCTTCTTCAAGGTTTACTTTACACATGGTTCCTTACAAGGTACCACTTCTAATGTATAGTAGAGTATCATCAGCATATCTGTTAAGTTGGCTTCCGGGGAAAAAACGCAAATGCATGCATTTGAAAAATATGCAAATGACATACAGGTGTTGAGTCTGCAACCTTCTTGCTGTAATTAAACAGTGATACCAGCTGTATTACTATGAAGCCTTAGTTTCTCCCAATGAGGTTGAGTGGGTTGTCAAGTAATTAGAAGGTTGCAAGTTCGATCCCGGCTCCAGACAGAGACTTCTGTTGTTGTGTCCTTGGGCAAGACACTTAACGCATCTTGCCTGTTGATGGTTGGAGGGACCAGTGACGGCTGTGCTTGGCACCTTCATCTCTGTCATTGTGCCCCAGGGCAGCTGTGGCTACATTGTAGCTCATCACCATCATAAATGTGTGTGTGAATGGATGATTGATACACTGTAGTGTAAAGAGTTTTGGAGTTCTCTGACTCTGAAAGGCGGTACATATATGTTTTTCATTCAGTCAATTTTAATCAGCAAATCTGACCTCATTTGGGAATCACCCTTTCCAATATTTATGTAATCTGTTCTGTTCATTGTCAGACAGTCTTTATAGTTCTTTCCCCTTATTATTTTAAGTTATTCAGATCCTTGTCTGCACCAGAACTGATTATCTGCAGTTGCATCTATTCCACCACTGCCATCATTTATAAAAGTGCTGGTCATAAAATTAAAATATCATAAGAAAGTTCATTTATTTCAGTAATTCCATTCAAAAAGTGAATTTTGTATATTTGATTCATTCATTACATGCAGACTGATGCATTTCGGATTTTCATTTCTTTAATTTTGAATATTATAACTGGGTTCTCTCCGGGTACTCTCGCTTCCTCCCACAGTCCAAACCCATGACTGTTAGGTTGATTGGTCTGTCTAAATTGTTCTTAGGTGTGAGTGTGTGTGCATGGTTGTTTGTCCTGTGTGCCTCTGTGTTGCCCTGCGATGGACTGGCTCTCTGTCCAGGGTGTAACCCGCCTGATTGCCCGTTGACCGCTGGAGATAGGCACGAGCCGTCCCGCGACCCAACATAGACAAGCGGGTTCAGAAGATGGATGGATGGATGGATAGATATCATCTTGCTGGTGCCCATCTCCAGCGGTCAACGGACAATCAGGCGGGGTACACCCTGGACAGAGAGCCAGTCCATCGCAGGGCAACACAGAGACACACAGGACAAACAATCACACACACACACACACACACACACAGCTAAGGACAATTTAGACAGACCAATTAACCTAACAGTCTTGTTTTTGGACTGTGGGAGGAAGCCGGAGCACCCGGAGAAAACAGGGAGAACATGCAAACTCCATGGAGAAAGATCCCAGGCCGGGAAGCGAACCCAGGTCCTTCTTGCTGCCAGGCAACAGCTCTAACCACTGTGCCACTAGATATCATAACTGAAAACTAATGGGGGAAAAAAGGAATTTTAGAAATGTTGGCCATATTGAAAAATATGAACATGAAAAGTATGAGCATGTACAGCACTCAGTCTTTAGTTAGGGCTTCTTTGGCCTGGATTACTTCAGTGTTGCAGCATGGCATGGAGTCGATCAATCTGTGGCACTGTGCAGGTGTTATGAGAGCCCATGTTGCTCTGACAGTGGCCTTCAACTCTTCTAAAGTTTTGGGTATGGCGTATTGCATCTTCCTCTTCACAATACCCCATAGATTTTCTATGGTGTTAAGGTCAGGCGAGTTTACTGGCCAATCAAGAACAGGGACACCATGGTCTTTAAACCAGGTAATGGGGCGATTTGGCACTGTGTGCAGGTGTCAAGTCTAAAACTTCCTGGTGATCGGGTGCATGGACTTTGGACCTCAGAAAATATAATGGACCATAACCGGCAGATGACCTGGCACCCCAAACCATCACTGACTGTGGAAACTTTGTACTGGACCTCAAGCAATGTGGATTATGTGCCTCTCCTCTCTTCCTCCAGACTTTGGGACCTTGATTTCCAAAGGAAATGCAAATTTTACTTTCATCAGAGAACATAACTTTGGACCACTCAGCTGCAGTCCAGTCCTTTCTGTCTTTAGTCCAGGCAAGACACCTCTGATGTTGTCTTTTGTTCAAGAGTGGCTTGACACAAGAAATGCAACAGCTGAAACCAGGGTTTGCATACGTCTGTGCATGGTGGCTCTTGAAGTTCTGACTCTAGCTGCAGTCCACTCTTTGTGAATCTCATTCACAAGATTGTTTCACAATCCCCTCCAGGGTGCGGTTATCCCTAATGCACTTTTTTCTACCAAATCTTGTCCTTCCCTTAACCTCTCTGTTAATGTGCTTGGACACAGAGCTCTGTGAACAGCCAGCCTCTTTAGCAGTGACCCTTTGTGTCTTGCCCTCCTTGTGTAAGGTGTCAATTGTTGTCTTTTGGACAACTGTCATGTACGCAGTTTTCCTGTTGATTGTGTACCCTACAAAACTAGACCGAGAGACTGTTTAAAGGTCTTTCAAGGTGTTTTTTGTTAATTAGCTGATTAGAGTATGACACTAGGGGGTTTTCAATATTGACCTAAACTCTTCACAATATTCTAATAATGTGAGATACTGTATTTGGGGCTTTCATTAGTTGTCATTTATAATCATCAAAATTAAAGATATAAACAATTGAAATATATCAGTTTGTGTGTGATGAATGAATCTAATATACAAGTTTCACTTTTTGAATGGAATTACTGAAGTAGATCAACTTTTTCATGATATTTTCATAATGAACAGCACTTGCATGTAGGCATGTTAGTTGAGAGCAGACTCATACCAACAGACCATTTCAGCCATTATAAACCACTTGTATCAGATGTGTTTGCAGTTGCCTCTGATGTTCCAATCATTTCCTAGTGACTTTTGATCTCATTTATATTCAATATTGCAAAAACAATCAGCTACACCGAGCATATGTGCCACAGCTCATGAATGCAAATGCATTTTATGAACGTAAATGGGGTCAAAGTCACTTTAAAGTTTAAAACATAATGGAGACAAAAAAAAAAGATTTTCACTCAGCTTTTAAAAATCTAAACCTACCGCATCGCTCCCTTGCTAAAGTAATGTTCAATAGAAAAATAATATCTTCTGACTACTAATCAGATCATTTTCATTTATTCCTCCATTTGCTTACCCACCTCTTTGTCTTATTTTCTTAGCCCATTAAAATAATGTCACTTTAGTAGGTGATGATCAAATATTAATTACCCATTTATGTTTGCGTTTGTGTGAGAGAGTGTGTGTGTGTGCCTGTGTGTGTGTCTTATCGGAAGTCCGAGAAGGTGACTGGGAAGGCTTCAAGAATATAAAATTTCCATTAAGATGACACTTTTGTGGTTGTCTCAAAGTAGTGAAAACCACAAGCACTTCCCAGCCTGCTGCCTTGTGTTGCTTTGTGAAATGGCAGGAAGTTCATGGATGCACCAATAACTATGAACTGATGAGTCCTGTAGTGTGATGATATGGAAGCCATGGACATGGTAACTTAAATTCACAGTGTTCTTTTCCTGCCTGCTCTTTTGTATTCTGACCCTGTTTTTTGTTTTTCCTGCTATAATCTGGCTGCATGGTGACGCAGTGGTTAGCACTGTTGCCTCGCAGCACGAAGGTTGCAGGTTCGAAACTCGGCTGCGGCCTTTCTGCGTGGAGTTGCGTGTTCTCCTCATACATGCGTGGGTTTCCTCCAGGTACTTCGGTTTCCCCCACAGATCACACGCCCTATGGGTCATAAATTGTAAGTCACTTTGGAGAAACGCGTCTGCTAAATAAATAAACATAAACTTCACATAATAAACATAAACATAATCTAGACATTATTCTGTAAACAAAAAGTTGTTTGCATAAGTGTATTTTACAGATGATGTCACTGCGCAAGTGCTGCTGGGTAAGCAAATTGCATTTGCCAGTTGAAAAAAAAACACTTCAATAAAATGTCAATAACACATCAATAAAAACAAGCGGAAGAAACTAAATTCAAACTTTTATGCTCAGCTGCTCATTACTCAAAGTGATCAAGTAACATTTTCTCTGAATACTTTTGTTACTCTCACATAATTATTGGTGTCACTAATTTTTACATACCCCCCACCTGTGGTAAAAAGCCTTTTACGTCCACGTTTTGATCACCTTACTGAGACGTTTGTTTGCACCACAGAGTCCAGATCTTTACCCCACTGAGAATCTTTGGGATGCGCTGGAGACGGGTTTGTGCAGCAGTCAGACTCTACCATCATCAATGCAAGATCTTGGAGACAAATTAATGCATTGGATGGAAATACATTTTGTGACATTGCAGAAGCTTATTGAAACAATGCCACAGCGAATGCACGCCATAATCAAAGCTAAAGGTGGCCACACACTCTAATATTTCATTAACTATTAGAGTGTGTGACCTTTTTTTGTCATAGTCTGTGTCTGCGTCTCCCTCATGTGTCTCCTTGTGTGCTCCATTCCCCCGTAAGAATCCCCCTTATGTGTCTCTTTGTGTTCCTCATGTGTCCCCTGGTCTTCAGCCCTCCAGATATTCCCTCCCAGGTCTTGTGTTCCTTCAATCTCCTCCAGTCACCCCTCTGCAGTTTTTTATAGGTTCAGCTTCTCATTTTTTTAGTCTCTTTAGTATGTTTTTTCCACAGGTTTTTGTAGTTTCCCTTCCCCTTAGAATATTAGTTTATTTTGCTGGCTCATCTTGTCTTTAGGTTTTTTACTCTTTACTCTTAGGTCATGTTAGTTTCCTCCCTGATTAGTTAATTGCTTTCACCTGGTTCTCTCTCCACACACCTGCAGCCCATCTGCCTCCCATCATGCCCCAGTGTATATAAGCCCGGTCTTGTCTCAGTGTCTTGTCGGTCCATTGTTTGTGTCAGCGTTGTTTTTGTGCTCTATGTGAGCTTTGCGTCTCGTCTCCAGGTTTTGTGCTCTATGTGTGCTTTGCGTCTCGTCTCCAGGTTTTGTGCTCTATGTGAGCTTTGCGTCTCGTCTCCAGGTTTTGTGCTCTATGTGAGCTTTGCGTCTCGTCTCCAGGTTTTGTGCTCTATGTGAGCTTTCTGTGTCCTGGGTTTCAGGACTTTTGGTTTTTGGCTCCCTCCCCTTTTTGGATTTTTGTTCATCCTAAATAAAGGATTTACTTTTAAAACGCTCCTGCCTCGTGTCATCTGGGGGTATTCGGCATCTTGGGTCTTAACCTCCTCCTGCACTCAACGTGACATTTTTTGGGTGGTGACTGTTTTTGGCTGTGCGATGTAATGTCATAATGCAGTGTTTGAATGTAGCTGACCACGATCTAGATCTAAAAATGTCAGAAAACCAATTTCACTCGAGCTCGTTCTGAATTCTAGCATTGCTAAAGCTACATGGCAGACTAATTTTTCATATGGATGTTGAACAGGTTCTTTAGCAATTCCCATGAATTCAATTTTTTAAAGATGAAGAAACCAGAAACAACCAACAAAACAAAAGGAAACACAAGAAAAACCATTTAAAGTTTGAGATTTTCGTCCCACATGGCAGATTGAATGTGTTTTTAACACAGTGAAAATAAGGATTCCAATGAATTACACATGCTAAGATTTACCATCACTTGATTAATTTATTAGTGCTTGTGACTTTCACTATCCCATTGTGAATTATTCAACAGAATTTATCTTTACATTTATTATTAATCACATGTGAAACCTTCAGGGACAAACGAGGACTAAAGTTTCAACCCAAACTTCATCCAAGAGTAAACGGGAGCACGGCTTTCTTTGACAGAGTTCCTGTCTCCGGTGAGAGTTTGTGGCGGGTCAGTCCCATCCCAGTGTCTGATGGCATTGATGACAAAGATGATGATGAGGATTGTGACGTACAGAGCGGTGTGTGTGTGTGTGTGTGTGTGTGTGTGTGTGTGTGTGTGTGTGTGTGTTGTAAAGAAAACTGAAATAGAGTTGTGACATGTATGAAGCTTGTTTTTCTCCCCCCCCACACCCCCACCCTCAGTGGGAATGAAAATGCTCGGCTATATTTGGAGTGAGCTGATGTCACGAGTGGTTTGAGCAGAGTGCCTATAACTGTTGGAGTCGGCTGGTGTGACAGTCCTCGGACCGCTCCTGACAGACTGGGACCAAACACAACACAAAGTGAGTCTCTTATCATCCTCAATGCTTTCAGTTCTTCTTCTTTATTTATTTTTTTATTCTCTACAGATGCGATGCGAAAAAGAATGTTTTTAGTTTTCAATCTGTAGATTTTGTTTACAATTGAAAAGGATGTATATGTATTTTTCCTTAAGTTAAAGATTCATTTTGGATTACATGAGGTTCATTTTAAACTGTCAGCAAGAAGCTGGAATGAGGAGAAATGTGCATTAAATTGACATAAAATCATAAATCCTAAATGTAAAATAACCCTGAGTCCAGATCGACCACATGTCAGAGCATATTTTTGTTCCAATTTAATCAAAGCATGCATTGTTAAACAATAAAATGTGAAATAAAAAGTATTACCTTACATTTCTTTACTTTAATTATAAGGTTTTATAAATGTATTATTTCTTTATATTATAAATGCACACCTTATTGCCAAAAAGAATGCACATTTAAAAAAGAAAAATGAATATGGTAGCTTTTTTGCAAAAAAAAGTAAAAAGATTTCAAATTAAAAAATAATTTAATTATGCCACACATTGGTGCTGAATAAAAATACATGAAATAATGTAATAATTTGGATTTTCTTTTTGTATTTTTACAGGTGATAACAAGATAGATTTATTAACTCTTTATTTGCATTTGTCAGACATTTCTTATATTTATTATTAACCGCAAATAATTTGCTGAATGAAAACGTAAGTAATTTTACTATGGATAGGATTTAAAAGGAACTTGAGCCTCAATTTTATTATAATTTAGCTTGAATTGGTATAAAAAGTATTATTTTTTTTTACATATAATCAACAGATTTGAGTATTTTCTCTGCATTTGGTATTTATTTTCTAAGAAAAAGAATCACATTTTCTTGTATTCATTTTGTTTATGCAGAGAATTCTCATCAGTATGAATCAGCTGAAGGTGTCTGCGTTCCTTCTCATGGTGCTCGTGTTGCTACGCTGCATCACTACCGCTCCAACTCACAGGTGAGCAAAAGCAAAATTTTAACAATCATCATATCTGTGAACTCACCGTCACTAAGCGCTGATTCACGATTCAATAACAGGTTATCACGTGGAAGATTTTATTTTTTGTCAAAAATTTCTAGTAAATCAGAGCATTTTATGTATATTATTCATAGTTATTTGAGATAAGTCCTTGTCAGTCAGAACTGGATCCATAATAGGGGTTGGCTTTTAAAACCAGAATCGAGTCATCTGCATGTCTAAATCATGCTTATGTGGCTAAATGGCCATTTTCTCTTGGTCTCCTGGGACTAGTGAATGTTTTGAAGAGGGAGTCATCAGTGTGAAAGCGGTTTGGCACTTTTCCCTCTCTGATCCAGGTACTTGAGTCCCAGCTCCTCCTCCTCCTTCGAGCAGGAGAGTGCTCCTCCAGAGAGAGAGAGCTGGTCACTGCCTGAGCTCATCTCCAACCCTTTCCTTGACCTCGTTGGTTCACGGACACAAAGGGGCCTCACGGGAACGAACAGGTAGACTTTAACCCTCTCAGGCTCAAAATAAGTTTTGATATAATGACAAACAACTAAGTCCTTCAGAGGTACTTCTGAGTTAAAAAATGCTCATGAAATACATATGTGGAGTAACCAGGTAGGTAAGTTTTAACGGTGCAAATCTGCAACGTCTGCCTCCAGAGGGTTAATGTTATCAGTGCATGTATAAAGTCGATAGTGTCAAAAAAATATTCAAATTGTGAATATATTTGTCTGTGCTTCTCTTACAGTCACCACTTGGAGAAGAGAAAATGTAACACAGCCACCTGCGTGACCCAACGGTTAGCAGACTTCCTGGTCCGTTCCAGTAACACCATCGGGACCGTCTACGTACCAACTAATGTGGGATCATCCACCTACGGAAAAAGGGAACTACAGCATCCTCGCAACTACTTGCCTTTCTAACACAAACTGAGTTTAATTATCCAATATTATGTAAAAAGGCTGTAAAAATGTCACTAATAATGACACTGATTGTAATAATCATGAAGATAAGAATGTTTTTTGTCACAAACATGAAGAAGCAGTGCCTTTGTTTGGTTTAAACCATCTGATCAAATGTTTGGTTCCTCCCAGTTCTGTGGTTGTTAGTCTTGTCAGTCCTTTTTTCAAAATAGCATGATGCATTCAGAAAAGGGAATAAAATATGTAAAGCATCTAATAAAAAATGTAAACCTACATTAAATACATGTTATTTGTTGTTTTTGATAATAAAATATACATATTTTAAACTTTCTGTGAGCCACATTATTACATATTATTATGAATGAGTTTGTTCCATCCATCGTCTGAACCCGCTTGTCCATGTTGGGTTGCGGGACGGCTGGTGCCTATCTCCAGCGGTCAACGGGCAATCAGGCGGGGTACACCCTGGACAGAGAGCCCGTCCATGCAGGGCAACACAGAGACACACAGGACAAACAATCACACACACACACACACTCACACCATGTAAACTCCATGCAGAAAGATCCCAGGCCGGAAAGCGAACCCAGGACCTTCTTGCTGCAAGGCAACAGCTCTAACCACTGCGCCACTGTGCAGCCGATGAATGAATTTGTTAATGACTCAAACTTTTCTACATTCTCACAAAACCACAGAATTTTTTTCCAAACGATTCATTTTTTTGAGCACATCTTATAAAAACTGGACTTATTTAATATGGTTTACAAATATTTTTCCCTAACTCGCTCTTAGAGATACACTGTAAACTTTAAACAGTTGTTTTGAAACAAAAAAGAAGACTGAATTTCCCTTCACAGGCGATTAATTTTGTCTGGGAGCTTTGAGATATAAAAACATTTAGACATGATCATGTTGCATACATGTTTGTGTTTGACTTTGGTTACCCACAGGATGGTCTTGTAATTTAAGGGAAGGTGTTTCTTTTGTTTATAAAGGTTTTAGAGCTGACAATTATGGAATTGGATCATGCAGAAATGTGTTTGTCTATCGCCTTCATCTTCTAATAAAGAAAACAAGACTGATTTCAATGAAACTCACAAATTCAAGATGGCCAATTGGCCATGGCAAACATAAAGATGGCTTGAACTCTATTAATTTTAATGAAGTTTAACAATTTGTTTAACTATTGACTAAAAGGATTCCCCACACATACTCAGAGAGCTACAAAATGCGCAATAACTTTATTTAAATCTTTGGTGTAAAGTTTTGAATTGAAGCCCGACCTGAGCCCGGGATGACTTTTGTGCGGTTAGCTACACAATCCAGGAGAGAAAAGCTTGCTTCAAACCAGACAGGGTGGACTCATTATTATTCCTCCATGGTTTGTTGTATAGGAGCATTTTTTTGTGTAAGCCCAGCTTTCCACCAGACGTGTAAGCATCTGATAACGTCCAAGAAGTCACAGCTGATGAATGAGTTTCCACCTGCCATCAAGTGGCACATTTTAGATGCGTCCCAGAAACGGAAGTGTCACATTGCTCCGTTAAATTTATAATCTTGGAATCTAGACAGACCATAGCTGGAGTAAAATGAATTTGCTCTGCAGGTCGGTCTAGCCGTGCTCCATTGGAGTCTCAGCAGATCTACCATTGGCCTCAGCAGTTTTGTATTTTGCCAACCACAGTTCTTTATTGGTTTGGTGTTATGGCAACTGAGCAGGAGAACAAGGGTGGTGGCATCTTGTTTGAAATGACTTTGACATTAAATTTGAACAATTTAGACTAGGGCTTCTCTTTGAGTCAAGAGCAGACAGAGGTACTTAAAGTCTCTATCCGGAGTATTTCTCTTATCCGATGGCACCATCTAGTGGCTGACAAGCATATCACACAAACAATTTCCCCCTTTTTTTCAGATGGTGAATTCCCGTTTCTTGTTTATTTATGTGCTTCCGTAGCCGACAAACAGAGCTAAAGCACGTTTTACAACTATTATTCTCATGTCATGTTGTGTTCTCATATATTTATATTTTAGAGGCTTACTTTTTTATATTAATATTTATTTATTTGGCAGACGCTTTTATCCAAAGCGACGTACAATTTATAACCTATAGGGCATGTTGTGATCTGTGGGGGAAACCGGAGTACCCGGAGGAAACCCACGCATGCATGGGGAGAACATGCAACTCCACGCAGAAAGGCCACAGCCGAGTTTTGAACCTGCAACCTTCTTGCTGCGAGGCAGCTGCAGCCGTTGTCCATGAAACGTTCATCAACTCGGCATCAGCTGAGGTTTTCCTTAAATTTGAAGCAAGTAAGCGGTAGTCTAACGCTATTGGTTAGTTCTGGTTGTCGTTCAGTTTCCTATTGCACGGAGCTCTGCAGGGCAGGGGGTGTGCTTAGCAAAAAAATAAAAATAGACGTATTGCTTCTGAAAAATCATCAGAATTTCTGAAAGGGGAAAACTCCGGAAAAATATTTTAAGTCCTTAATTCATTAAAAAGGATGTAGTTTTGTCTTCTTCAACAGTGTATGGACTGCCCTGTTGACTGACGTCCGTAGTGGTGAGTACGTCACAATGCATGCGGAGACAGATTGATGCCCTACATCTGGGTTGTTTTAATGTGTCATGGCAGGACTATACTGTATATTCACATGGAGAATGGGCTTGCTAGGCTACTAAATTCATGCTTTGGGTCTATTTTCTATGTGCCATGCTTCCAGAATGTTCGGATTCAGCCAGACATCACGTTACGTCCCGCTGACACATTCAGTGGAAAGCCTGTGTTGGTACATGTTCACTGTATGTCTTCAGAATGCTGTGCTGCACAGGGATCAACATTTTCTTTTTACTGCTCATTAAAAAACAAAACAACCTGGGGTTCAGTCATGCTCAGATCGACTGTTGTATCTGTTAACATTGGGCAAGCTTAGCCTGGCAAGCCATCCCCAAAAATTTGGTCTAGTTCACTAGGCTAGGTCAAGCTGGTTCTGGGCTTCAAGTCCTATTGGTCATTTGGAAATCAGGTTCCTATTTTGGGCCCATTGAGAACTCTACTTTAATCAACCCTGTCTGTTAGCAACATGTCTCATGACTAGACTGATTTTTTATTTATCCTAAGGTGATCGGTATGTGTTCAGCTGCCAAAGACAAACATCTTGAGTCAATCTGAATTTAAGACTTAGATAATTTTAGCTAATTATAGGTGTAGCGTTATGGTTTATGCTCTTTTTATGAAAGAGGAACCATTCTACATGTTAATTTGTGATATTAATTTTATTAAATTAATAACCAAATTGTATAGTTTTAAGAAGACTCAAAGGTTGTTTTCATCGATAAACTGACGATAATATCCATGTGTCTGTGTTTCAGTTCAATGAAGAAACAAGTTTGGAAGTTAAAAGTTTTAATTCCTCAAATTAAACTAATGATTTTGAAATGACAAGCAGAGGAACATCAATCAACATTGGCAACTTTGTTGAACAATCTTTAACAGTTGATATTGTAAGCTTGCACAAATAGACCTTGTGATGAGTGTGTGAAGATTGAATATGAGGTGAGCTGAGTGCGGGTGTGCATCTGATTTTGCTTCAGGAAGAAACAGGTGTCTGAGTGAAAAGTGATGGTTTGAATAAACTTAGGTTTTGTTGGAAAAGATGCATCAAAACGCTATCTGTCGTGGAATGCCTCACCGTATTTGGACTCCCTGTTGGACCCGGGACGTCACTTTAGGATGATGTTTCATCCAGGGCACCTTGGCTGGCAAAGAAGACAAAGATGCGCCACGAACCGGTCCAGAGTTGCCCTCGGTACACGTCGATGGTAAAGCGTTTTGTCGATGCGTTTTCTTAAGTTTAATTCACTCAGAAATCAGAAACTCTGGACGAGTCTGCGTTAGCAGTTGCAATTTAGCTGTCCTGTCTGGCTTGGCAGGAACAGCGTGAGGGGGGGGGGGGGGGGGAAGGAGCCGGTGGGCTCCGTTCCCCCGTTAGCGGTTGTTCACACGTCCTCTCTCTTTCGTTGTCAAGTACGAACTGAATCATAAGACTGAAACTTACCAAAAGCCTTTCTCTTCTCAAAGCAAACGTGTACGTCAGCAAATGTGTTTTGGAGTTTACTGTGAGAATCTGTGTGTGGGTGTGGGTGTGTGTGTGTGTGCATGAAGGTCGTTAACAAACATCCCCAAACATTATTTAATCAAGTATGGATTCATTAATCCATTATAATTACCCAAAGCATAAGAATCATTCATTTTATTAAAACACATTCATAATGAGCAAAATGATAATGATTATTCTTTAACATTAAAATCAAGAAAGGAAGTTTAAGACTTGTTATGTTATGACTACTTGTCCATGAGAACTCCTTCTTCTGGTACTGCAGGTGTTCAGATGTTATGGTTTCCAGCAGACTCTTGCAGACTTCATGTCTGCAAAGGTCTCAATCTGTGGGTGAAAGTTCTCAGCGACCCAGCCGAGTCAAATGACCTTTTGCACAGAAAACCCATATTTCCTCACGTTACATAGGCAACACATAAATATCTATATGACTCATTCAGCTGTACAGATATTAAACTAAATTACCTTGAGTGCATAACTGAGTGCAATTTACAAATAAGGTCCCAGAAGATCTTGGGACATTGCATGAGATATTACATAATGTTATTTTTATTCAACCACACTGTATAACTGCAATGTTTTATCAGAGGAACACAATTTAGTTAACACGTTTTCCTCTATAAGTTAATTTGAATTCTTATATTTATCATTTGCAATACAGCCTGAAGTAATGGACCAATGGAACTAAACTAAATCAGAAATGTATGATTAGCATGTGGGGCAGTTGAGTTGTTTTCTTTCAGGCCAAAACTCTTTTATTCTGTATCAAGTATTGTTTATCACTTTATTAATATTTAAATACCTTAGCTAATGTATTCACATTTACAACGTGGGTATATGTATTAAAATGTAATATGTAAATGAGCATTCTGTGTTGTTTAATTATTCTCAATTCTAATTTTAGTTTTAACCATGAAAGCAGCAAAACATCTTGTTTATCAAATCTATATACTCACATAGTATAATAACTAAAAAAGATAAAAAAAAAAAACACGATGCTTTCAATTATATGATCAAAATCCTACTGAAATGTACTCACAAAATCACCCAAGGATGTTTCCTCATTTATCATAAAAGTAATGTGGTGTACAGTGAAAGCATCTAGTGGTTATTAGTCATTGTTTACACACAATACTTTTAATGGCAGGACTGTAATCACAGCATTGAATTCCATTCAGTCATGTACCAGTTATCCAGG